TTAAACGGCGCGCGTTTTATCCCTTATTCACCCTCTGTTTACATTAAAGTATAACATAATAATCGTGATAAAAATAATCTCATATACGAAAGAAATAATCCAAACAGTCATCCAGCCAACAGGTTAAACTAAAAACAGTCGAGGAATAAATAATATATAGTCAGTATTTTAAAAAGTATTTTATGGGCCAGAGACGGATTCAGGATTTGGAATTTGTGGGTTCCTAGCTACCGTAATTTCAAATTTCTATGCAAGAGTTAGTAGGTTCACAATTAAATATTTAGTGAATTTCTTAATATAAAAACAGGATCTACGCAAGAGTTACTGGGTTCTCGAGAACCCATATTCAATGCTCTAGGTCCGCTCCGATTATGGGCGAGCCTTTGGGGTGAGGAATACCAAAAACACATTGAGGCGTACTGGTTGAATGTAAGTACCATGGCCCCTACGCCCCACCTCTTTGGGCGTTCACGTAAGCGTAAACCTCAATGTTCTAGGTGTTCATTTAGGATGTAAGCCCCGAGAAATTTTTAAAATTTGAACCCAAAAATACTTAATAAATTCTTTTTTAAAACTTAAATACCCAAAAGTTAACTCATATTAAATTCTCAAACTAAAAATCTCAAAAGTCAATATTTTTTTTAATTGTTTATTCTTATTTCACAATTTTTCTCTTTGTCGTTTACTGAGTAACAAACACAATTTAGATCGTTGTCTCTAAATTATAAAGTAAAATAGTTTTGTTCTCTAATTCTTATTTTTCCATGTTTGTATTTTCCTTCTTTATGCTTAATTTCCTTTAAGTTTTTTTTTTGTGCGTATTCTTTAATTTATTATTTTCAAGTTAGATTTTTGTTTTAATTTTTTTTTTTTTTTGGTATCATTCTAGTTCAGATATTATTTTGAATACTCTATTCTGGCTATTGTAGTATAATAAATATTTATGACTTGTGTGTAGTTTTAGGTTTTTAAACAATAACATTATATTATTTTTATTTTTATTCTTTGAATTATTTGGAACTAAAATATTAATTTTACAACTCTACTTATGTGACATCATAGTCATATTATAGGTGTAATACATTTTTACGTCTTTTACCTTTTTAAGTTGAAAAAAAATATTTTTTGTAAGGTTCGTGCAAATGTTAGCATGTTTATAATAGATATAATATCTTCCTACTAATTTTATAATTTTCTTGAATAGTTGTAATTTTAATACAGTTATTTATTTATTTTATTAATTTATAAAATATTAAAAATTTAATATTAATGGAGTTTTCGCGTTGCGTCTTAGGGCTTACGCCTCCCTCCTCCCCCACACATACACCCCAACCCACCCCACCCTACCCCTCCCCATAAGATAAAATGTTTCGTTTTACGCCCACACCTTTTAAAAAACTAATTGAAATATGTATAATTGCATATAATCAGTGCATAATTTATATATATAGGCTAGGGAAAATGAACAATGAATTCAACCGGCTATTTATATAAAGATCCCTCTATTTAAATTAAATTATATACTCCATCCGTTATGTGATGGTATTTGACTAGGCACGAAGAAAAAAACACAGACTTTGAATTTATGCTCTCTCTCTTTCTATATATATATATATTGAAGATATAAATTAGGTACCGCGTTAAAGGTAAAACAAGAATTTTAAAGTCAGAAAAATGCCACTATATTTGGAACAATCTAAAACGGAAAAACTATCAAATAAATTGGAATAGAAGGAATATTAATTTGCTATGACTAAGTGCTAAATTAACGTGAAAGTACAAATTAATTAAACGTGTTTAACTATAACATTTATTTGATTTGGTGCGAATATCACATATAAGTAAATCTTTTCCATTTAGCAATATATGAATGGTCATAGGGTTTAAATAAATTACGCTTTTAAGAATAACATTTGAATATCTAACCACTAATACGGACTTTCACATAAAAATAATAAAGTAGTATTAGTGCCTTGATTTTTTGAAATAAAAACAATAATTTTTTTAAAAAAGGTTTCTCTAAATCAAATATTTTGAACTAAAATTCTTAAACTATTTTAAAGATTCACAATATAAAAGTGATTTAACTCCCTAACTAATAATTGTATCATTCTAATTTAAATATTTATTAATGAAATATTGTTTAGAACACGGTAGCTTTTTACTTGTAGCCAAATTAAGTTTATCATTAATGTCACTGGCAGTTTGGTACGTATTGTTGACTTGGAAGTTGTGAAAATCACTGGCCGTCTTTCCAAGATTCAGATAGTAGGGGTTATCAGAATAAATAGGAAAACAGCACTTTTTAATTTTTAACTTATAAAAAGCTATAAGGGCAAACCCCACACACCCTTAAGCTGACTAACCAAAAGAGGAAATGATGGGTTGGAGGGGGGTGGGGCAAATCAAGTTGTTAGCATAGGAAGAGTAACAAAAAATCTTGCAAAACAAAACTATGTTCATCAAAGCTTTGTAATGTTTGTATGATGAAATGTTCTTATATCAACACAAAATTCGGATATATGAGTATAATGGTGCAACAAAGAAATTAAGTTACCCACAAACTAACATATTAAATCAAGTTTTACCAAAAAAAAAAAAAAACTATTTTCAGCAATATTTTATAGACAATTCCACTCTACGAATGGACTATGTACAGGTGCATCGTAAGTGATCACGGCCTCACGTATAATATCGTGCGCGTAGGAGCTTAATTGTGATGATCCGATAGGTCATTTTGGGTTTTAGCTCTTATATTTGTATTTCGAGACCTCGATCAGTTCCGTTTTAATATTTTTTGATTTGTGTGCTTAGTCGGTATCTTTTTCTGAAAAGATTTTATGTGAGAAATTGAAGATAGCATGAATTTTAGCTTTAAAATGACTTGAGTTGAGTACGGTCAATATTTTATGTAAACTACCTCGGATCGGTATTTTGATGATCCAGCTGGGTCCGTATCATGATTTTGGACTTGGTCGTATGCCTGGAATTGAATTCGGAAGTCCCTAACTTGATTTGAATTGATTTGTTGAAAACTAGTAATTTGAAGGTTTAAAGATTTTTCGAGGTTTGATTTAATGCTGCTCGGTGGGCCGGGCCAGCCCGTGACCGGACCGGGCCCGCGGTCCNGATACCGGGTTCGAATTTCGGTTCCGAAACTTGGTATAGGTTCATTTTACTATTTAAGACTTGTATGCAAAATTTGGTGCAAAACGGAGTTAATTTGATAGGATTCAGACGCACGGTTGCGAATTTGGAAGTTCTTGTGTTTCTTTGTAAATTTCATGCATTTTGATATTCGATTCATAGTTTTAGGTATTACTTTGGTATTTTGATCGTGCGAGAAAATTTGTATGATGTTACTACACTTGTGTGTATGTTTGGTTTGGAGCCTGAGAGGTTCGGGTGTGTTTCAGACGTATTTCGGAGTAGTTTGAATAGTGCAAAGGTTGCTGTGCAATGCCAGATCTGGTGTCTGATGCAGATCTCGTATTTGCGAATAAATATTAGCATTTGCGAGCAGGGCCTGGGATTGGATAACCTCGCATTTGCGAGAAAAATGTTTGCAATTTCGAACTGCTCAGGATTGCTTTTGCAATAACATGGTCGCATTTGCGATGCTTGGCAACACTAGGGCATCTTCACATTTGTAAAGATTTCGGCCGCAATTGCGAAGGTGGGATCTTCACATTTGCGATATCTTTATCGCAATTGCGACTTCTGGACTTCTGTGATAGGGTTCGCATTTGCGACGCTCGTCTCACATTTGCGATGTTCGCGATTGTGAACAAGACTTCCCAATTGCGACATCTGCAGCTAGGTAAAAGAGGAAAAAATTGGGACGTAGCTCAGTTTATACCATTTCTCAATCTTAAACACTTTAGAGACGATTTTTCAAGAGAATTTCCTTCCAAAATCGTTGGTAAGTAACTTTAATTCATTTCTTTTCAACTACCCATTACTTTTCATGTATTTTCAATATCAAATCTTGGATTTCCATGGAAGAAATTAGGGATTTGGGTAGAAATTGAGAATTTTGTAAAATTGAGATTTAGACCTCAAATTGAGGTAAGATTTCGAAATAAATTACATAACCGGGCTCGGGGATGAATGAGTAATTGGATTTTGGTCCGAACATCGAGTTTTGACCAAGAGGGCCCGGGATTGACTTTAGTTGACTTTTTTTTAAAAATGATCGAAATTGAACCTTTTTCATTGATGGGTAGTGTCTAAAGCTTATTTTGAACCATTTGATCGATAACTTACTAGATTTGGTTGGTTTGGAGGCTTGTTCAAAAGGCAAAGTCGTGGTTGATTGATTTCTTTGATTGCGAAGTGAGATAAGTGTCGCGGTTAACCTTGACTTGAGGGATTAGGACTTGTTGGTCTATTTGCTACATGTTTTTATGTGTAGGGACATCGTATATGTGATGTGATGAGTACCTATGCGTTGTCATTGAGTTAAAGCATGCGGGTGAAAATTATTTTTTTGTATTATATTATTTCGTTAATTATGTTATCTATGCTTAGGTTAGATTATTACTTCTCTTAATTATTCGTTTCGTATTTATGGCTTATTTTGAAGAAGTTGAAGTTGGATATCATGGCACCATATTTCAAGTGAAATTATTCCCCGCCTTATTTTTATTATTCGGATTTATATTGTTGCTTGGTGAGGAAGAGAGAAAAGCAAGAAGGGTGTTGTCGTGCCTTATTTGCATTCATTATCACATATTGAGAGATTTGAGAGTAAAAGCACGACGGGTGATGTCGTGCCGGTGAGTAAATGCACGAAGGATGATGCCGTGTCATTATATTCATGATATTACATAGTGAGAACGAGAGTAAAAGCACGAAGGGTGATGCCGTGCCATTTTCATTTCCTTGTTTTGGCGATTTACTTAGTTATATTGTAGCTTAATTCGGAAGGTGTTATTTCATGATTTCGTAATTTCTGTTTTTGTATAATATTTTCCCCTTTCATATGTCCCTTTCCAGTTAATATTCTATCATTCTTCTTGTTATTTGGGTAGGTTGTACTCATACTACACTTCTGTACGTTTTGTGTAGATATTGGTATCGGTCCCAGCGGTGCTAGAGGTGCGTTGACTCGGATCACTTTCAAACGGAAACTCGAGGTAGATCTGTTGGCGTTTGCAAACCTTGAAGTCCCCTTCCATTTCCTACTTTTACTATTTATCTCTTTCTAAGAGTTGTATTTATTTCAGACTATGTTTGTAGACTTCTAGTTGCTCGTGTACTCGTGACTCCGAATTTCTGGGAGTAGTTAGTATCACATGGTTTATATTCATACTATATTAGATTTGGCATTTATTTCTCGTTAAATATCATTATTTTTGTTTTTAGATGTTAGAATTGGTTAATTACTTATTTCACGTCAGCTTGCTTGTTAGGCGACATCACGATCCTGAGGTTGGGGATTCCGGATCGTGGCATTAATCAACCAGTTTTGCCTTCCAATTCATTTTCTCATGTGCGCGAGGTCACACTCCCTTTTACTGGCTCTTTACTAGCTCAATAAAGAACAACTTTATATAAAGTGGAACATAATGTTCTTCCTAATCCATATGGGACTCTTATGTTTCACATAAGAGAAAAAAAATAAGAAGAAGAAAAAGGAACTACAAAGAAATCTTTGATTTTACATTGCCAACAACAACAACAACGATGCAGTAAAATCTTACAAGTGGGGTTTGGGGAGGCTAGTGTATACGCAGACCTTACCCCTACTCCAAGGAAGTAGAGAGGTTGTTTCCGATAGACCCTCGTCTTAAGAAGACGAAAAGAGAAAATATATTTGTATTGCCAACTATTAATAATAAAATACCAACAGTTTTTTTTGGAGCGGAAACACTCGTGTATAACTTCTTCAATTCCTCGATACAGGACAATGTGGTTTGAATGGGTAGAAAAAGAGTTTGTTTTTAATTAAAATGAAAAGTACCTAAAGATTCATAGTGAACTTCAATTGGACTTTCTCTGGAAGCAATAAATGTATTGACCTAGTTAGAGTCACAAAGGAGTATATCCCCTCGGATTAATGACTTTTATTTTTTATTTTCAAGAAAATGTTTAGTCATTCATGAAAAACAAAATCGGATACAAAAACAAAGGATGCCATCACTTATATATTTGTCCCGTCACATCTTCCCATTGTGCAGGAGATATATATAGCGTTGTACAGCTCCATCAGCAACATATGTAGAGCCTAGAGCTTCAGTTATGAAGTTTTATTTATGTTTCTTACGCCTGCATGCTTAAATTTTAAGTAAAAGTTCGAAATTGATTCACTTTCGTCCCTTTGTCAGCTCATGTATTATTGAAGAAGTACACCAAAGCAGTCATGCCGATCAACTCATTTCTTTGACATCTTACATCCTATAATACTCTTCTAAGTAAGCTTCCTTTTCAGGCTCATATGCAAAAATAACACTCTGACCACCCGTAGAAACAAATTTTTAAAATATTTAATTCCAGATATGCTCAATCGAAGCACAGTATTATGAGTAAAAAGCATTTGCCTTACAAGCTTTTTTACAATATATATTTGTATGACATACTACAAAGGTGCTAGCATAATTAATGTACCTGGCCAATTAAGAGTGTTGAAGTCAGCGTACCAAACTTGTAACTTCACATCTTCAACAGGAAGAAAGTGAAGGTGTGACTCTCCACAAAGCTCACAGATCTATAACATTTGGTCTCAATACAATAGTGACCTCCTTAAAGATAGCAGATTCCAACTGTCCACTGAAAGATACCCATTTCCTTTGATTCCTTTAAGTTTCATTAGCCACAGGCTGCAGCCAGCAACTCTTGCTCATTCAAGTAGAAGGACCATGTCCAAACTTGGCTACTTATTTGGACTGATGTCAATTTACATTTAGCATTAAAGGTGGACTCTCACATCCTTGAAAAACAAAGCAGTTATTGTATCTGGTCAATTGCATTAGGACGTGAAGGAGAAGAGTTGGCACTCATTCTGCTGGGCGCTGGAGTATTTTCTCTTGACTGGCGCTTCGTTGGGACCAGCACAGTTCCATTACTCTTCAACTTATCGTCAAACTCCTCATCTTCATCTTCATCATCACTTTTAAAAACAGGGTGCAAATAAGCATTTTGAAGGTACGCTTTTAAGTTGAGATTGGGCTCTTTTGCTCGTTCTAAAGTATCTTTCCTTCTCGCTTCCTGAAATCCAAGAAAAGGAAGTTGTCCTTTTAGAGAAAAATAAATATTCAAGTTAAGGCTGTGTCTTAAAATTCCATGTGACTGTACCTAGACCCCTTGCTAATGATATCTAGCAGTCATTTGAGATCAACACAAGCAAATCTTCATCCCGAAGAAAAAATACACATAGATGCAGCTGAACTAATATAACAACTACGTCTCAATCCCAAACAAGTTGGTAGTAGGTTATATGATTCCCAAACAAGTTGGTGCAGCTATATAAATCCTCACTGATCATGTTTTTTCATTTAAGCTCAACAAGTCATGCCATCATCATACCAAAATAAGTATGATATGGTTATTTTCAAGAACCTTGACGCCACAAGAAATTGTCATTATTACCTTTGCAAGTCAACAGCGGAACCAAGAGCCACATATATTGGGCACCACATTAGCAAATACTACTTTCTACAGAATATATAAGTCTCTTCTTTCTATTTTGGTGCTGACAAGGATATCCTCCAATTAAATTTCAAAATTAAAAAACAAAAGATTATCAGAAACATCGTGAACTTACAACAATAAAAGGTGTTTAAAAGATTCCTTAAAAAGTAATCAAGGACCGATTGATTCATTACCATAAATTTAAATTGGATCAGACTAAAAAAAGTTGTTATGTTTAGAATATCAAAGGAAAATTGGTGAAGGGACACTCCTTATCGAACTGCTTCAGATGAGTGAGAAAAGGTTTTAGAAATATCAGAGGAAAAAACTGAAAAAAAAAAGAGAGTCCAACAGAATAGGAAAAACAATTTGGCAATCAACTTTTGAAGTAACAAAAAATCTAATTGTATAAAAATAATGCATTGGACTCAGATAATATTCAAATAGGTAAATAAACATTACAACTATATCTTTATATCAACTTCAGTAACATAACCTTCTCATATTTCTGTCATACAAGAAGAAGATGGTGCACAGCACTTTTGACTATTATAAAATCCTATTTCGGAGAAGAACATGAGAGGTCATCTTCAATCAATAAATTTTGTCCTGATGAGTCTTAAGATGATATGTACATTCGCGTTACTGTGGAAAAGAGGCCTAAAATGCTTTTGAAATATCATATGTTTCCTAAAGGAACAGTGGAGATACCAGTAATATTGATCTCAAATTTATTTCGGGACTTCCATTTAGCAGTATTAAGTCAAGTTTAAAATGCAGAGGACATATGTAGTTCAAGATCCACATGATATACATGTATATTTGAAGTAATAATGGAACATCTTCTTGTAAACTGCATGTTCTACACACCTGAAGTGGATATCTGGTGAAAGCTGGCTCATAACGTCCTTTACAGAATTTGTGAAAAGAGATGGTCAGAACTGGAAGGGCGATAAGGAAAGGTGCTGACTGAGCAGCATGTTTTGTACCTAGCAACCCAAGTAAAGATAACTGAGAGAAGACCAGAGCGAATATTATACGTCCATGAACATCTGGCCAGAATGCTGCTCCACTTTCATACTTTTGATTGTATACATTTATAATCTGCATAACATGAAAAAGGAACCCATTAGAGAAGCCGAATGGACAGTGCTGATCACACTTCCAAGAAATATTACTAGGAGAATAGCAAACTCATCTTCAATCCAATCTTATTTGCTATTGTCATGCACAATCATCATAGAGAAACCAAGTAACCAGTACGCCCATAAAATAAAGACGCTCATAGAGATGGTGGACACTGCTCATCCCTCTATGTTAATAGTACAAATAGGTCAATAGGTCTGTTCGCTAAAGATGCATCTGTCCCAACACGGATAGGAACTCGTCGCCTCACTCGAATGTCATATGTGTCTTCAGATTATTTAACAAGGACACCAGTTGATACCGTATATAAAAAAACTTCATATTACCAGCATAATCTGAAAACCTTGCATCCACTGGATAACTGAACATCAAAGCTGACATGATTCTTGATTTGTCTAAGTTGGTATTAGAGGATACACAACTACTTTAAAAGATATCAAGTTTACATTAGCCTACATGTGAAACTCTTGAATTTTGACTCATTATAACTGCACTATCTAAAGAACAAAAAGCTTTATCAATTAAGAAGACTTAAAAAGTGAAAAGATAACCTGATGCCGGAACACAATGAACGCCAGGCCAAAGAACACCAGTATGAAAGGAAGCAGAAATGGCGTGACCACAGCATAGACAAGGCCCAATAAGAAGTATAATTGTATCTGCGGTTCTCCAGTGTTGAAACCAAGGCTTCCAGCATTCATTGCCTTCTTTCTATCATTTTCAGTCTTGACCAAGAAAAAGTTCTTCAAGTGGAAGATTATTAGTGGCTTCAGCCTTAAGATCTCTCCAGCAATACCAGCCCATCCGTCAACCATTATGTAAGTTATGAAGAAAGTTGCTTTCATTGGGATAGCAACACCAATTGTTTTAGGAATTCTGCAGCAAAAGACAGAATCTTGTAGTGCTTAGGCAACATAATATTCAAGTAAAATGATAGAAAAGATCCGGAAATTGGAATAAGGAGAGCTAGTACTATCATGTATGTGTTAACGCACTGCAACGTAAATGTCATAGCAGAATTCGCAGATATCAGAGGCCTTGAATAGATATTAGAGACATATTTCCTCATTGAAATGCTTGACGAGCTAAGACACAATGACAGTTGCTGCAATTTGTCTGCACATTGTATTAGCTAGCAAAAAAAAAGGATTCCTATTTTGCGCTTGTCCTTATTCATAACCATTGATTTCAAGGTTCTGCTTTCTAGTACTATATTAATTCAACAGTGATATTGCGAGGTTTAATACAATAGTTTCTAGCTTGCTTGATGGAATTTATTCCTGTATAAAGAGAAATAAAGAGTGATAAAAATTCAATAATGACACTTCAACTTACTCATTTGCTGACTGATGAAGAAAAGTTTTTAGCTGTTCGAATGCAGCTCCTGCAATTATGCTCCCAAGAAAGACATTCACAAAGTTAAAGATGTAGTATTTAGATGCAGATCTTCTTTCCAGAGCTGATATACTTTCCCAGCCCTCAAATTTGGACATCAGCATCAGTATCCTCGGCAAAACTATGAGAAAGATCTTCAAAGCAATCCCAGGTAGAAAACCTTGGATGAATGACTTGANGGTTTAACCACAAGTTCAACAATCATGCTTGAAACAAAGCAATAACTCAGCCAACAGAATTCTTTTGCATAATTACCACATAGAATGGTGAGAAATAACATAGAAGAGATCCATTTAGTAGACCATTTATGAATTACTGCATCAATTCTGATCTATTCATGACATTTCAATCTTCATGCTATGGTGGGCAACACCGCAAGAGCAGTTTTAACAACAACACCAACATACCCGGTATAATCCCACAAGTAGGGTCGGGGAGGGTAATATGCATGCAGACCTTACCCCTACCCTGTGAAGATAGAGAGGCTGTTTCCGGAGACCCTCGGCTCAAGGACAAAATAAAAATGAGTAGTATCAACAAGCAGTAACAACAGTGGTATAGTAAAATAATTGAAGTGAAAGAAATAATAGGTAGACACATAACTCAACAAACAAAAATGCAAGTCTAATACTACTGCCATGAGAATGGCAAAGGAATACACTCAACTACCCCTAACCTTCTACCCTAATCATCGACCTCAACATCCTCCTATCAAGGGTATGTCCTCCGTAAGCTGAAGTCGCGCCATGTCCTGCCAAATCACCTCACCCCAATACTTTTTAGGCCTACCTCTACCTCTTCTCATGCCCACGACGGCCTATCTCTCACACCTCCTCACAAAGGCGTCTGCGTCTCTCCTCTTCACATGCCCGTACCATCTCAACCTCCCTTCTCGCATCTTGTCCTCTACGGGGCCACTCCCGCCTTGTCCCGGATAACTTCATTCCTAGTCATATCTCTCCTAGTATGCCCGCACATCCATCTTAGCATCCTCATCTCTACTACTTCATTTTCTGGACATGAGAGTTCTTAACTGGCCAACACTCTGTCATATATAACATAAGTCGATCTAACCACCACTTTGTAGAATTAACCTTTAAGTCTAGGCGGCACATTCTTATCACACAAAACACCGGATGCGAGCCTCCTTGTCAACCATCCCGCTCCAATACAATGTGTGATATCCTTGTCATTCTCCCTATTCCCTTGAAATACAGACCCCAGATATTCGAAACTACCCTTCTTGTGGAGGACTTGGTTGTCAAGCGTCACAGCCACGTCGGCCTCATGATTCTCGTCACTAAACTTGCACTCCAAGTATTGTGTTTTGATCCTGCTCAACTTGAAACCTTTTGACTTTATATTCTGTCTCCAAACCTCCAGCCTCGCGTTAACACCACTTCGCGTCTCGTCAATCAGAACAATATCGTCTGCAAATAACATATACCATGACACTTCCCCTTGAATATGACGCGTAAGTACATCCAACGTCAAGGCAAATAAAAACGGGCTTAAAGCAGACCCCTACTGCAACCCCATTAGAACTGGGAAGTGTTCCGAGTCTCTACCCACCATCCTCACCCAGGTCTTGCAAATAACATACACATGAGCATTTCTTGTTTTTCAAAATTTGTGGGGTCAGCAGTATCGACGATCAAAACTCAAATAAATTGTCAATATATCATCTCCTCTGTTAAGTCGTTCTCCCAACAAATATTCTCTCTAGAAAGGAAATGTCATTTAGCACATAAGTTGCAAGACTTCTGTCAAGCAACTCTTGTGTGAATAATGGCCTATCAACAGAACTGGTTAAGACTCCATTTTCAATGAAAAGTAAATAATACTCTCTTAAATGTACAAAAGGAAATATGCACTATTGAACATGATTATCCAACCTTCATATTTGATCACGTTAAGCGAAGTCCTATGCATCATTATGAAGCATAGATTAAGATACTAGAGCATTTAATTTTCTTCAATATTTAGATACCGGACCATTTGTTTCGCTATCAAACTAATTTTACCACCATTTTTGAGAAACTCATACAAATAGATGAACAAAAATATCATAGCACTTGAATAAGTAGGAGATAGAGCAAATATTGAAAAAGAGAGATAGTGGATCGGAATAAGAGTACTATAATGTGGCATACTTACATGTCAATGATAACTTTTAGGAATGGCACTACTTTCCTGATCCCCTCAATAGTTGCAAGTGTTTGGACAAATGTGATAGGAATCATGAAGAAGAATGTGAGGAAAAAGAAAGCAACACCGATTATGAGCCTCCTAATTGTTAAAGACACATAGGGAATCGCCAGGTTTCTCCAATATACATCACGCGGCTCTGGAGCCCATTCAGTTAACCACAAAGTCGGATTTCTTGACTGCTGAGTTTGAGCACAAACAGCAGCACCCCACCGTGTTTTAAACGAGACAAATGCCGCCGGCATGATAGATTTTGGGTCATTTTTAACCCGCTCTCTCTCTTCAGCTATCTACATGTAAAGCAAGAAATTAAGACAGGTAAAACTAAAGCTAATCTACTGTAATAGCAATAAAACCAAAAAGGTAACAAGCTCAAAAGATACGTGATTAAACTACAGGACATTTTCTTTTTCAATTAACAGAAAGGCATGGATGCCTGAAAGCACAGAATTTTCTAAAAGCTTCCCGTCTGAATTTAAGAAAATTCTTATTATTTCTAACCAAATAAAAGCATTTGGTACCCATGGACCAGGCAATGTCAAAAGTAGTTGATAGAGGATTATAGAAGACACTTTCACGAGTGGTTTGAGAAAGAAGTAGAGATCAATCAACATGACAGTTAGCAAAGCTTACTCAAGATTGGTTACCTCTTTCGATAGTCTTTCAACTTCAGCAGTCTGATAGTCGATCGCATCCACTTTATTTCCAAAAAGACCAAGTAAACCAGTCTGCAAGTTTGAGAAGGAATTTAAAAATACAAGTTATGCTTGAGGTAGACAGAGAAATAGTGGAGCATCATAGAATGTTTCAAGATATCCTGAAAGAGAAATAAAAACTCCAAACTATACATACCTTCATCATGGGCCGATTTGATTGATTTCTAGAATACTTTAGTTGGTAATAGTCAAGCCAATTTTGCTTACTCTTCTTCTCCTTGACCAATTTTGCTAGTTTGTTGGCGTTGTAAACAACCTGCAGTACGACCCAACTAAATGAATAAAGATAAACAGTTTTTATTAAAATTTAAACTGCAATTAACAATTTGAAACAAATCATCCTATTAATTGTAAGATCAGGCATGCAAGTGACTTCTCATGAAGAGAAGAGATAAAATACATTTATGACCATAACCAGAAAGCCTGATCGTTGAAAAGTTAGGTTCTTCAAGGAAAAAAAACATTTCTAAGCAAGAGGGTAACAAGCTTTCAGAACTTGACAAAAACTTGTGATAAATGAATTGTCCAGAAGTGGTAATCATCGTCTATAAGATAAAATCTCCATGTACAGAAAATCTTATAGAAAAGGTTAAATATGTACTATCCTTATTGGATGGTTCAACATTTTATTTCCTTGGCTTTACCGGTTAAAACTTAAATCTAGATCCATGAAAAAACTTTGTTTTGCCATTTTGTTACAATCTTGTCTATATCTACTTTTATTTAGAACGGGTTTCAACCATAACTTATGACACCTAAAATATCCTTAGTAGACATTATCCGTGGTTGCGAGTAGAAACAGAATGAGATGGTCTTGAAGAACTGAATTTTACGCTCTTGTACATTTATCGTATAAAACACGACGGTATCATCCCATCTTCTATTCTTCCTCCCTTTCTGAATTATATCTTACCTTTTTTCTGAGAAAAGATAACACTAATGTCGCAAATGGTAATCCTATTGTTCTTTGACATATTTCTTAGAGATGAAATCTCAACATGGCAAATATCCAGTAATCACAAGATGCAGTACATGATTACCCAATATTCAAAAGGAGAGGAAAAATATGTACAAAGAAGACGCTTACAACTCAAAAGAATCTTAAGTCACTCCTAAGTTGCATATATCATATACATGTACTATCAAGTACAAACCTGGTGTGTGAGGTAATGATCTGTATGATTAACCAGGAAAAAGTGCTCTACACATTCACCGACTGATTCATGAGTGTCAGGTGGAACGTTTCTGACAAGGACCTGAGAACAATCAAATTTTAGCTCAATAAATGATGTAAAAAGATTTTCTGTCCGACAGTGCTCAAGATTGCAATAGGAAGTTGTTATCACGACTATCTAGTAAAACTGGCTGAAAGACATTAGCAATTGTAGCATATCAATAATGAGAATCACGATCATTTCGGAGATGTTCCTGAAGAGAGTGACTCAGAACCATTATGTGTCAAGAGATATAAGAGTATTCCGACAACTAGTTGATACAAAGAAAAAAGAATTGCACAAGTAAAACCCATGCAGGTATACTCACTGAACTCTACTGCTGAATTTTACCACATGCATCAACTTTCTTCTGGTCAAGGAATTGACCAAGAGTTAAGAAGAAATCTATTTATGGCTAGAACTTTAAAATTAGAGTTTCTTTAATCAAGCCCATCATATCAATAACATGAATATCATAAGGATCAATTCAGAAAACAGACCATAACTTTAAATTCCTTTGTGGAACCAAATATTAGAAGAGATTTTTATGAGGCAAAGAAAAATAGGTTCGCCTTTGTAAAGTCAATTCAGATATTTCAGAAGATCGTCCCACATATTTAGGTAATTCAAACAAACTACACATATCATGAATGTAAAAATATTTAAACTTTCAGTTCTTGTATTTTGAACAGTTAAGATTTTAAAAAAGAAAAACTAGCCATTACAATTCTATCTATGCATCAATTGTTATATTTATAAGTTTCCATGTACGAAAGATTATATATTCTAGTCTTTGAACACTAGATCCAGAATGGAAACTTGTAAATAGTTAATACAGAAGAATTTCAGAGTTTCAGTTTCACATACTGTAAATTGATCAGGACGACGTTTTTCAGATGCAAGAAACAGCAACCTCATAGCTGCAACTTTTGCATACTCCCTTTGTAAGACATAGCATGTCCAAACTGTAATGGCATAGGCCATAATGATATGAGTCCAAAACCTGAAAACATCCAATGTTCAAGACAAGTCATTGCAGGAAGCAATCTATATAGCTGTGAAAGATAAAGCAACCAGAAACATATTGCGACGTACAGCAAACAAGTAACAACGAAGAATAAGTTTAACACATTTTTAATGAGAAGTATGGACTCCAATCCACACAAGAAGTGAACCTCCTTTTATTTTTTATTTTTATTTTTGTTTTGATAAGTCATATGAATTGTTCATCATAATGTTCATAACGTATGGCAAGTTCCCTGACCCAAGAAAGGGAAATAGCTTCTTGGAATCATAAGAATAGCCTTATAATAAAATTAGACAGATACAAAATGTGCATATTTCAAAGTGTAGACATAGAAGGCTACAGGTTTAAAACCTAGGACCAAAAATATGCTGTATCATATAAGTAGGTAAAAGAATAAGAACTTGGTAATGATGAGTCTATTTAATCAAACACTTAAAAAAGAAAAAGTGTCTAACCTTTGTGATCCGAGTGGAACATTTGAAATGGAGAGCTTATCAACGTCACTGTAAGTAAACCCGGACTTTCTAAGAGTGCTATTTGTCCAATGAACAGGTACTAGTACAGTAAAAGCAAGCAATGTAATAGGAACAAAAATTTTTAGCCTGCGAATCAGAAGCCATAATTGACATCAGATATTCAGTTCCTCGGTGTAACTCAAAATTCCAGCAAAGGAAATACCCTTTCCAGTTGAAAAGGAAAGAGCTGGATTGTATAAACTGTAAATGATTAAACAAATCCTGTATTGTAGAAGTTTTTTTTCCTTTCAAAATTGAAACTCATAAGGCCACCTTTCATAAGAAAGGAGAAAGAGAAAGAAATCAATACATTTGCCTCATCTCCCACTCTCCTTCTCATCACTTTTCCAAGTAAAAGAAGAAGAGATTATTGCGAATATGTGCCTTGCTCAACAGTCTTGCTTTAACAAGATTTACGCCAGAGATATAGTGATGACCACATAGAAAAGGTTAATCGAGACACTACATCTGTATTTCTCCTTTTTCTTGCCTTTAAGATAATCATATTAAAGGTCCGTGTTGAATGTGATCAACTAGCTGCTTCAGAAGAGAAATGATGTTTTGTAGCTCTCCCTCAGTTTATTGTTTCTTATTCGAAGTTTATCCTATCAAAGATATAGCTGCATAAAAGGTGAACGTCCATTCTTCACATCAATCCAAAGAAAAGAAATTATTTTGCGGTTTAGTACATGGATTTACATTGAAGTCAATTCCAATAAGTTTCTTTTGGAAAAGAAAAAAAACTATAGTTTGTTCTATTAAGGTAAAATGAATTCAGTGCTTCCCTTTTAAAGCATGATGCATCTCTTCCCACTACTATTGAAAGAGGAACTAAAAGTCACTAAACACGTATAACTAGATATTGCAACAGCAAGATATATATTGAAACAAATCGTATAACTAATTCCAAAGGCATACCCTAGCAAGTAGATCCGTAAATAAACAGCAGAGTCCAGTCCTGCATGGTCAATGAGCTCAAGTTCAGGCATTTTTAGTGCATCCGGCACCCAGTTCAGAAACCTTATATATGCCCTCCAATCCAAATTAACAATTTTTTTGACAAATGCACCAGACTGCGTCACACCATTTCTCAAACCCATAAGATACCATTTTGGGAAGTACACTCTGTCGTTGAGTGGTTGGAGCCGCAGAATTGCAAATGCCAACAGGAAGATAAATGCAGAGAGAATATTTATAGCTGCAGAAACTCCTATATCTCCCAGTGTTGCCATCTTCTACCTGTAAACAAAAGATATCAAGTCTCGTGCTTGGATGATCAAATGATTCAAATTTTTCTCAATCCTATATTAATCGGGGTCGGCTGTCTATATTGAATAATTCTTTATCCATTTGCTCTAAATTTCTATGTGAGCTTAGGCCTTACATGGACTACAACAGAACTCTTAAAATGCAGACTATAAACGCATGTTCAATTCTAAATTACAGACCAGATAGTTGATAAAAGGTCAGCGAAAATAGCACTTACCATCAACTTTTTACACATTTATGCATGACTAATTTATCGTTTACAAATTCATGAATTGAAAAAAATAAAGGGAAAAACCATATACAATGGGAAATAGTTGAATAAGCTTCTCATTTATCTTTGGATAAACTAGTAATGATAAAAGAAAAAGACAATAGATTATAGCCCCGCAGAGATGCATATATAAGCACTGGTTACACATTAAGAAATTAACTGATTACGATTAAGGAAGCACAAAAAGAGAAACACTAACAAAGTTCATCGAACTAAACAACCAAATTAAAAAAATAATAGGAGACAAATGTTGTGAAAACCCATTACTTCCTCCGTTTCAATTTAGGTGAACCTGTTTGACTGGGCACGAAGTTCAAGAAAAAATAAATACTTTTGAAATTTGTGGTCCTAAACAAGTTAAAAAAGCTCACAGTATTTGTATTTGTACGGTTATAATCGTTCTTTTTGGAACAGACCAAAAAGACGAAATAGGTTTACCTAAACTGAAACAGTGGCAGTATTAGATCATGCAGAAACACTTAAAATACAAAAATACGAAACCTATTTCACAAAGTCATGAGAACTGAAATGCATGAAACGAAAAAAAACATAGATTGTGTGAAACCTTTTTCTGATTACAGAGGTGAAGCTGCTTCTGCGTACGGAATTTTAAAACCCGGCCGCAATGAAAAAATTAAAATAGAGGAGAAAAGCCAAAGCCAAAGCCAAAGCCAAAGCTCATGACACAGAGAAAGTAACAGTTGCCTATCGGAGAGTATAGGGATTACTTCATAACTCAATGAAAGCTACGAACATTCCTGAATTAATTCACTTTTCTTCTACAGTTGATTCCTTTTTTTCTTTCCAAAATGTAAAGTGCGTGTTCAATAAGTTGTGAGATTCGCCATCCTCCTTTGGATGTCAAGAAAGGCCACGTCGGTTGTTAATAAGGACCTTATTATAGGTATAGCAACCGTTACTTCTATATTAGTATATAATTTCTTATAGGATTTTAGTTATACATATTAACTGTGTTCAACATTTTTGCACTATCATTATAATCAAATCTATTATAGCATATTAATTTTTTTATATTTGAAAACAACGTGAAAATTACTACTACTATAAGTCACAATAAATGAAAAGTCAAAATATTTAAAAGATATATAAAAAAATCATGAAAAAAAAAAACTCGTTTAATTTTCGATATCTTAATACCGTCACAAAAATTGAGATGGAAGTAATATTATTTTTATATAGGTTGTCAATGGCAATACTTATCATAAAGATTTGCATGTACTTAGTGCAGGGATCTGATCATTTAAATATATATATA